CTCAGCCGCTCGGGCGCCCAGACTGAGCCACGCGCGCCCTCTGGTGGCGGCGGAGAACCGCGGCGGCGGGGCAAACTGGGCAGGGGCGGAGCCCGGGTGCTGGTACTGAGGCTGAAGTCAGAGGGAGAAGCGGTCACAGCCAGCCAGGTGGTCAGCGCAGACACGAACAGCGGAGGCCAAGGGACATCAGTCGACTGGGCGACCTGGGGAAACAGAGACACGACCGGGTCCCGAGAACAGAACGGGGAATGTCTGGGGACCAGGACGCCGGCCCTTGCACTGCTGGGGACTCAAGGTGTGGCCAAGTCATGCCCACCTCTTCCCCGGCCTCTGCTTCTCCACCAGGTGGAAAACCAGAGGAGGCAGAGAACCAGAGCCTGGCGTGGGTAACAAAGCGGGGAGGCTGGGGCAAGGGTCGCAGGAGGATAGGGAGAGGGCTGGACAAAACAGGCAAGTGCACGGTTCCTCTGTGGGGCAGAGAGGCCGGGCCCCTCCTCGCGTCTGTGAAATGGGCATGCAACCCAGCACCGTCTTACCCCAAGGAACCTCTGATGCCTACTGGAACGCCAAAGTTCCACGACGACGCTCCTAAAACTTGCTCTTTTCTCCGAGGGTTGGGATTGCTAAGGGCTGGCTGAAATCTGAGCCTTTTTAAAAGTGTATCGCAAGGGACCAGCAGATGGCAGAATAGTTATGTCCCTGGACTCCCCCGTAGTCAAGCCTTGGAGCTTGCGTGCTTAAAACGCAAGCGTCTGCGTGTGCGAGCGAACCCAAGATCCAGAGGAGACTGGAGGAGAAGGGATTACGGCGTGGGCACTCCCCTCCCCGTGATATCTCGCTTTCGGTCTCTCTGTCTCTCTGTCTCCAGCAATTCTGTATATTTTCAAACATACAGGAAAACTGGAAGAATTGTACAGTGAAACCCTCATAACCACTAATGTGGAATGGCCAAGATGCTCCTGTAGAAGAAAAAGTTGGGGAGAAGGCTGGACTGTAGTCTAATGTTTAAGGGAGCTGGATCCCACATGGCCAAGCTTAGTTTGAATCTTGGTTGTCCCAGCTTAAAAGCCATACCAAATCCAAAGAGGATAGAGAAATGGAGAAGGGATTGTGGAGTGACCAAGACCCATTAGGGGTGCTTTCTTCCTCTTTCTCTGTCTCTCTCTGGCAAGTGCATCCACCCCGTGGGGGGGTGGAGAGAAAGGAAGAAGAAAGAAAGAAAGAGAGAGAGAGAGAGAGAGGGAGGGAGGGAGAGAGGGAAGGAGGGAGAAAGGAAGGAAAGAAGAAAGGGAATGAAAAAAAGAATAAGATGAGGAGAATTAAACAGCCTGATAAGGCCAGCAGGTGGCATGGGGGTTGAGGCACTGGACTCCCACATGGCCAATTAGAGTTCAAGTCCTGGATCTGGAGATTTGCTTTCTCACTTCCCCTCTCTCTTTCTCTGTCTCTCTCCCTCTCTGGTGAGTATATGTGCCTATAGCAAATTTACGAAGTAATAATAATAAATAAAAATTGGGGACCAGCAGATGGCATAATGGTTACACTGCTGGACTCCCACATGGCTGACTGCAGTTTGAGTGCTGAACCCAGAAGCTTGAAACTTATGCCAGGCTCGCATGTGTGTGCATGCCCAAGATCCTGAGAGGAGAATGGAGGTGAAGGGATTGTGGTGTGGCCATCCCCACGGGGTGTGTGTGTGTGTGTGTGATTTCTCTCTTTTTGTCTCTCTCCCGCTCTGGTGAGCGTGCATGCCCTATAGCAAAAGTCTCTCTCAAAAAATTAATTAGTTAACACTTTAGAAATAGGCGTCTAGCATTCCAATGACAACACATTTGAGGCAAGTAGTTATTGGGGAAATACAAAGGCAAAAAATAAATGATCTGATTGGTTTGCAATTTCAAAATTGCCCCCTTTAAGGTAACTTGTTGGAAAATTCCCAGTCACATAATCATAAGTTAGGTAGCTACCTAACATAACGTTTATCAGAAATGACCCAGGTTAGACTGGCCCGAGTAAAATTGTGCTGGGGTAATGGAAGAGTAAGGCATGTGGGAAGTTCCCGGTTTTGCATCAGAGGTCTTGTTTTGGGTCAAGTCCTGGATCTGGCAGCTCTCTCTCCTCTTTGGTGAGTGCATATGCTTCATATCACATTTCTAGAAAATAATAAATAAAATTAAGAAAATAATTTTTAAAAGGAATTAAAAAAATAAATCTTAACAACTCTCAAGCCTTTAAGAATGTCAAGACTGCGGACCAGCAGTTAGCATCATGGCTATGTCGCTGGACTCCCATGTAGTCGACTGCAGTTTAAGTCCCAGACCTGGTGGCTTAAACTCACACCGGGCGTGTGTGCGTGCATGCCCAAGATCCCGAGAGGAGGATGGAGAAGAAGGGATTGCGGCATGGCCATCCCCCCCTGGGGGGTGATTTCTCGCTTTCTGTCTCTCTGTCTCTCTCTGACTTTCTGGCAAGTGCACGCACCCTACAGGAAAAAACTCTCAATAAATAAATAAATAAATAAATAAAAGAATGTCAAGACTGGAGGCCAGCAGGTAGTATAGTGGTTAAGGCCCTACAAGGCTGACCACAGTTCAAGTCCTGAACATGGAGGCTTGAAAATCATACCAGGCACATGTGAGTGCATGCCCAAAATCCCAGGAGGAGAATGGTGGAGAAGGGATTACAGTGGGGCCATCCGTCTTGGAGGATAATTTCTCATTTTCTCTCTCACAGTCTCTCTCCAGTGAGCACAGGTGCCCTATGGCAAAAACCTTTTTAAAAAAATCTTAAAACAGTTGTGTGTGGACAAGGCGCCAGAAGTGGCGTGGTTGTTAGGCGCCAGAAGTGGCGTGGTTGTTAGGCAACTGGATCTCACATGACCAACCGTGAGGTTTGAGCTCCAGACCCAGTGGCTTGAAAAACATGCTGGTCGCATGCGTGTACATGCCCAAAATTCTGAGAGGAGAATGGAGGAGAAAGAATCCCAACGTGGCCATCCTCCCTGGGGGTGCTTTCTTCCTTTCTCTCCATCTCTCCGCGAGTGCATGCACCCTATAGCAAATGAAAAGGAAGGAGGAGGAGGAGGGACAAGGTACTGAGACAGGCCACAACAAGGATGGAGCTTGAAAACATTGCACGGAGACACCCAAGGCCATGTGGTATATGATTCCATTCCTAGGAAGTAGCTGAAGGAGGTAAATGCCTAAGGGACAGAAAGCAGATTGGTGTCCATGGGTAGCAGGGCATGGCTAATGGGGAGAGGGTTTTCTTTCCAGGTAACAAAAATATTTTGGAACCAGACAGAGGTGATGTGTACACAACATTGTGAACATACTAAATGCCACTAGATTTTTCACTCAAAGGAAAACAAAACACTTGATTAAAAACAGCGGCAGAGGGGCCGGCAGGTGGTGTGGTGGTTGGGGGTACTGGACTCTCACATGACTGACTGTGGTTTGAGTCCCAGACCTGGCAGCTTTCTCTCTCTCTCTCTCTCTCTCTCTCTCTCTCTCTCTCTCTTTCTCTCCCTCTCTGATTCTGTCCCTCTCTGGTGAAATTAAAAATAAATAAATAAATAAAGTTAAAAAAAAATAAAAAGGAACCAGCAGATGGCATAATGGTTATGTCACTGGACTCCCACATAGTCGACAGCAGTTCAGGTTCCAGATCTGGCAGGTTAAAATTCATGCTGGGGAGGACCAACAGATGGTGTAATGGTTACATTGCTGGACTCCTATGTAGTTGACTTCAGTTCGAGTCCCAGACATGGCAGCTTAAAATGTGTGTGCATCCATGTACAAAATCCCCAGAGAGTGGAGGAGAAGGGATTGCAGCCTGGCCATCCCCTTGGAGGGTGATTTCTCACTTTCTGTCTCTCTGTCTTTCTCTGTCTCCCTGGCGAGTGCATGCACCCTATAGCAAAAATCTCTATTAAAAATAATGATGATAATAATAATAACAATAATAAACCTCATGTTGGGTGCGCTTATGTATACACCCAAAATCCCGAGAGGAGAATGGAGGAGAAAGGATTGCAGCATAACCATCCCCTCTTGGGGGGTGATTTCTCACTTTCCCTGTCACTGTCTTTGTCTCTCCAGCAAGTGCACACGCCCTACGGCAAAAACCTCAAAACAAAAACAGAAACAAGCAAACGGCATGCAGGACTGTTTTTTTTTTTCAGGGAAGCTTTCATATGTAACAAAACTGTAGAGAACGGATAGGTCAGTTCATGAGAAACAGGGAGAAACCCCAGGGGCTCCTATGGTATCTGTGACAGTCTGCTTTTTAAATTACACAAGTGGGGGGCCAGCAGGTGGCGTGGTGGTTAAGGCGTTGGACACTCCCACATGCCCGACCACAGCTCAAGTCCCAGACCTGGTGGCTTGCTTTTGCACTCTCTCTCAATCTGTGTGTGTGTGTGTGTGTGTGTGTGTGTGTGTGTGTGTGTCTGGTCAAATTGAAATAAATGAATGGCTAAATAAAATTAAATAAATAGTTCTTTTTTTAAAAAAGTACATCTAGAATTTAAAAAGAAATAAATAAATTGCGTGGGTGTTCATTGTATCATTCCTTATTTGTGCATGCAGTCCATATTCTCTCAAATGCAAGAAATCACTCTTTGTAAGTTGCAGAACGCATGGGGGAGCCCCCTTGGTGCCCGTGCAAAGCCTTGATCCTCTGACGCTGTGAATGTCCCAGGCTGTCTCTCAGCACAATGACAAGGCTGCAAAGACACACCCTGTGATTAGCCAGGC